GGGGAGGGGGGAGCACAGGGTGGGGCGGGGGCGCTAATGGCGGCGGGGCTTGAGGGCGACCGTTAGAAACGGCCGGGCAGGGGCCCAGACCGGGACCGTGTGCCGGGCCGCCTGCCTGTTTAACCCTTAAAACAGGGCCCCGGTGTTTAATCATTAAAACAGCGTGTTTCCCAGCTGCAAAGGGGGCCGTTCAAACGCTTAATTCCTTCCTTCCCTCCCCCCCGCAATTTCGTGTGTGAAAAGAAAGTGTGTATACGTTGTACATGGTCGTATACAGCCCCCTGGTAGTGTGCCTGGCTCATAGGTCGCTGCTTTTTCCTTCTTTTTTCTTTTTTTTTTCCCCTTTGTGATTATTATTATATTTTTCCTGAGGATAAATATATATATATATATAAAGAACCCCAAAATTCTGTGTGTTAGAAGAGTGTGCCTATGGCTTTAGAAGATTTTTCTTCTCCGAGGGGGCCTCTTCTGAGGAGAGTTTTCACCCTGATGGGAGGAAAGGGCCACGTGCTCCAACACCTGTGAAATGGGGCAAAATTCGGGCACTTTGGACCTCGCATTCACATGTTTGTGTTTGCAGCACTGTGTTTATAAGATGAAATAACTAAATGAAGTATGATTGTATATCTGCTATATATATGTATATATACACTGCTGTAGAGGTTTTTTTTTAATTTTATTTTTAATTGTATTGTATTTTGGGGAAGCATCATGATTGCCCAGTGCTGCTGGACGTGAACAGCACAATTCACCTGCCAGGCGTTTTGGGGGACCTATTGAGTGTTTGCGGGGCAAGGCAGAGGTCAGAGCCAATTTAACACCACAAAAATGTTTTGGGTCATTTCCTAGCCTCCACTGAACTCTTTTTATCTCCTTGTTTTTCTTAACTTATGGAAATAATAAAAGAGCACAAACCATACACGTGACCATTCATCCTGCTTGTGAATCCTCAGAGTCAGGAGTGTGAGTGCAGGAAAAACGCTAAGATGAATAGTGATTTATCAGCTGAAGAGGTGGGAGTCTTAAAGCTGTGCCACGTGCTCCTCAGCTGTGAGTCCTCTGAGGTGCTGCTCCCTGGAGTTACCAGCCCGTGTTTTCCTTTGCTAGGCACCTGTAGGGAAAATCGGCTCAGAGCTGCAGCATCTTTGCCCGGCTCTTTGGGTTTCCACCGTGCGTGTGGAAGAGCAGAACTATCCACTGTGCTCTTTAACGTGGAGATCAGGGTAACATCTTCCTATCTTATCCACTGGGGGATTCCTGAAAACAGGGGAAGCAAGCCTGGTGGGTTGGCAACATATGGTATAGGGCTGATCACCCTGAAACCTCAAAAAGTACACCCAATAACTTCTTTTTTCTTCTCTCTTTTTTTTTTTTTTTTTTTTTGGTTCTTCCATATCCATGGTTATTTACCCAATTTAAGTGATGGAAACATACATTAAAAAAAAAAGTAGAAAACTGTCAAGTCTTTGGTATTCATCCCACTGTGAAAGACTCTAGGATGTTCCATGAAAACACATCAGCTGATGGGTTAAATTTAATAACCGCATCTGCTGAAGATGGTGCTTTCCAAAAAAAAGGCCATAGTATAAGGATCCTTAGCCCAGAAGAAGCTGAGCGACTGGCAAAAGGTAAGGTTTTGGTGACTGATTTCAAACAAATGAAACTGGAGAAAGAGGCACAGAAGAACTGGGATCTGTTTTACAAGAGAAACAGCACGAATTTCTTCAAAGACAGGCATTGGACAACCAGAGAGTTTCAAGAATTAAAAGCATGTCGGGAGGTGAGCTCTGTACGCCTTATTTATAAGTGATGTAATTCACTGGTTTCCAGCAGTTTAATAATATTTCTGACAGTCATAACTGTGAGTTTTCCCATCTGAAGTGTGCAGTACCCTGTGTAGCACAAGCTCTACTATATAGGGAGAATCAAATCCAGAATATTTATTTTGCATCCTAAATAGACACCTCATCTGTCTGTGATGTGACATGTTCAGAGGCAAGTTGCAGCATTTAGAAGGGTGTTTTAAAGAAAGCTCCCCAAATTACAGGCTAATTGTGAAATATCCTTAAGGGGAAGAGTCAGATGCATCTATTGTGCATTCTGTCTGAATGAGACAGAGGCAGCGATGGTAAAACAATCTGCTAATTACGTGGGTGGATGACTGAAGAAGTATTAAGTTCAAAAAAAGATGTGTAACTTTGCACATATTAAAATTCCTGTCTTGTAATGTCAAATTACCAATAGATGGCAAGTTCAGGTTTTGAATGAGTGGTAGCTACAATAGATTTTGGCTTTTAGAGTGCTGATTGAGCAACTGTGTCTGCTTGTGTGGAAAACAAAAACGATGGGCTGTGTCTTGCACTTCTTCCTCCCCAGTTCGAAGACCAGAAGCTGACTATTCTGGAAGCAGGCTGTGGCGTTGGGAACTGCTTGTTTCCACTCCTGGAAGAGGATCTGAATATTTTTGCATATGCCTGTGATTTCTCTCCTCGAGCTGTTGAGTATGTGAAGGTTGGTGTGATATTCAGTACTTCCCTTAGAGTGTCTTTAGAAGCTTACAGATTTACTGCAGTGATGGATTTGCCTTCCTTTTTCAAGAAGAGGAAACTAGTGTTTGTGAAAGAGCAGAAAGAGATCTGTTTCACTGGAGCTGCTTCCAACCTCAGCCATTTTGTGATTCTGTTCAGATGAATCGTTGTTCAAGACCTTATTTTCAAGCATTGACTTTTGGTAGCAGCGTGTGCACGTTGCTCTGCCTGCATGTTCTGCGAGGACCGTGTTTCTTGCGGAGGGAAGTTTGCCCTTGATCTTTGTGTGTGGTAGAGGGAGTCCCAAGGATAATCTTGAAAGCAAGGACAGGGATGTTTATTGTTAATGAAATTTGAAAACAGTCACAAATCGATAGGTTTATACTTATTCGGAGCTAGAATGCTGCAACACAAGGCAAGTCTTCTAGTAAGGTTGATGCTGACACTGGACTTCAAGATTCTCCTGATTTGCTAAATTTATATAATCAGAAGTAGATTTTTTTGTCTACATTTGATCTGAAAGCATCAGAAAAAGACTGTTTTTTCACTATAGTAGTGTCCAGCAAAGAATTTCATATTACATTAGTCACTTTTGGAAGTTCGTATTTTTTGCCACTTTCTTTGGCTTTCTCTGCTAATTAATTTCTCAAGTTTCCTTCTTTTTTTTTTTTTCTTAACAATAAAGACTGCCAATTTTCAGTTAAAACATATTGTTTTCATTTCCCTAGAAAAATTCCTTGTACAGTCCCGAAAGATGTAAAGTGTTCCAGTGTGATCTTACCAAAGATGATCTTACAGAAAATATACCAGCAGGCTCTGTGGATGTTGTCACGCTTATATTTGTGCTCTCTGCCATTCATCCTGACAAAATGCACCTTGTCCTGAAAAACATTTACAAGGTAGGCAGGGACGGCTGATTTTATAACCTTTAATGCACTTTTATTCATTTTGACTGTAACGTACAATTTTATTTTGGAAAAAAAAAACACTTTTTAATGTTGCTCTTTAATTATCACTACATTCTCGGCAAGCATTTAGCCAGCTTTTGGAATTATGAGGATTGTAGTCCGGTTAGTCTAGCAAATACCATCAACATAACAAAGTGGTAACTTGGTTGCATGAATTTGGTGCTAGTTGTATAGTACAAATAACATTTTCAGTTTAAGATCTGAATGAAAGTCCATCAAAAGTGCCTTGTAGAGGAGGCAATGACCTGTGATTAGAATTTTAAACCTGTTTGATCTGTGTGATTTAGAAATGGGCTGTTCACAACTACTAACCTTAACCCAGCAATACTCACCTTCCTGGGCTGCCTTGTAGTTGATAGACGGGGACTCATCTGGGGGTATCTTAAACCACATGAATTGTGGCTGTTATAAATTTCCTTGTCTATATAGCACAGTTTTAAAGCTTCTGATTTCTTTATAGAAGAGCAGCAAAAAATCTCAACTTGCAACTAGTTTTCCCAGGATCATTCGTTTGCATATCTTATGTATTAGGATACTTTATCTCATTTATATATGCATATATATAGATTAAAATGTCAAAATCCATTTACTTTATTAAAATATATGTGTCTTATGTAACAGGTATTAAAACCAGGCAAATGTGTTTTGTTCAGAGACTATGGGCTGTATGACCATGCGATGCTCAGGTTTAAATCTGGCAGCAAGCTTGGAGAAAACTTTTATGTTAGACAAGATGGGACAAGATCATATTTTTTTACTGAAGGTAAGGCCTGTTGTAGATTTGCTTTCTAGGCTTCTTGCAGATTGTTTTCCTTGTTGTTGATCTTCTGTTCAAACCTGCTTCACAGAATTGTTACTATGTCTGTAGAAGTTTTATTTTACCTGGGTGAATTGTTAAAATTTAATATATCTAATTTGCCATCTCCTTCTGGGACTTCATTTGCAAGACTGACAAGACTTTTAGCACTGTTATTTGCACGTAAAGAAGCTTCTGAACATTATGTGCCAAGAACAGTGACTTATGAACTTCCTGTGTTTCAGCCATTGCTTATGGAAAGGAAAAAGAAAAATGCTGGGTAAGAGATTTGATCAGCTTCGTCAGGCAGCTAAGCACTTCTCTTGCCACTGTCCTTTTCTGGAAGGTTATTCCTGGCATGCCAGATGGGGGTGTGCTGATGAAGTCCATGACTTTTACAGCGGAATCATGACTCGCGTGCTGAGGAGCTTGTGCTGAGAGCACGGCCTGGCTGCTGTCGCTCTCTGCTGTCCTTTAGTCAAGATGAAGTAAAAAGCATTGCCAAGTGATTCAGGATTTGAATGGCTTTTCATGCAGTGTTTAGAGTGCTGTAGGAAAGAAGGAAATTGTTTCA